ATGTATGTATGTATGTATGTATACCGAGTTGCACATCCAGTTTCGGAATCCGAATCCCATGTCAAAGAGCATGCCATTTTTTCTGAGACGAAGTGCAGCGACGTAAGGTTTGGTACAGTTGCCATTAGCTTGCTATCCATAAGCAACCTTGCTTGGAGTGTAGTGCTATCTATTCTTTATTATTTTTGATGTGTTCATGTTTACCCGGACGTGCTATCGGCTTGGACTTCTTCTTACATGGGAGTATTACAGGTACACATACTGGAAGCAAGAAGCTCTCTTTGACATGTCCCTTCTGGGAGCTTTAAACGTAGACGCATGCGCATTTGTCGGACATGAGGAGATTCACGCCGGACGGATGCATGATTGATTTGGTCAGGCGCTACTCCAGTGTTTTCTACGTTTGCGACTCGTATCGTGTTCATAATGATTGGCAGAGGCAATGCGTTCTGCAGATTGGTTCGAGCAGAGATGAGCTGAGAGGGTGGTGGAATTCCCAGTACGCATCCTGGGGATAATGGCACACTACTGCCTTCATCGCAGCGCGGATTCTTTCGCGGCGGAGGAAGAACAAGAATAGATGTATGCATGCATGAATGCAATGTACATGTATGTATGGATGTATGCATGCGTGTATGCATGTATGCATGTGTGTATGTATGTATGTATGTATGTATGTATGTATGTATGTATGTATGTATGTATAAATGTACGCTACCTGTATGTCTTTATTTCTGTATATATCATCTGTCTTGTGTATCTATGGATCGATTTATGCTTGCGTGTATGCGTGTATGTGTGTGCGTGTGTATGTATGTATGTAGGTAGGTAGGTAGGTAGGTTGGTAGGTAGGTAGGAAGGTAGGTAGGTAGGTGGGTGGGTAGGTAGGTAGGTAGGTAGGTGGGTAGGTAGGTAGGTAGGCAGGCAGGTAGGTGGATACTTATGTGTGTGCATCTCTGCAGGTATGTTTGTCTGTGCATGTAATAGAAGTCTACATCTGCGAAATTCATTTTGGCCCGCTATCATTTGCAGTCATCAGCTTATCGCCGCCATGGTCATCATCTTCGCCACCATCACCATCACTATCACCATCATCATCGCCAGCTACATCATCATCCTCATGATCATCATCATCATCGTCATCTTCACCATCCTCATCATCATCACCATCATCATCATCATCATCAGTGTCATCACCATCACAATCATCAGCAACATCATCGTCGCATCATCATCATCATCATCCTCATCGTCATCATCATCATCGTCATCGTCATCGTCATCATCATCAACAACATCATCATCATTCTCTTTATCATCGTCATCATCATCTTTATCATCTTCATCATCATCACCATCATCATCATGATCGTCATGACAATCCCTGCTTTCGCCAATGTGATCATATGTCTACCTGGTATGTCTTTAGCGATACTTAACCTTTTCCCTTGTCCTGGGGAGGGGAGGCCAAAAGGTACTTAGTCTGTGAGGTCTCCCGTTGTTTATAGTCCCTAGGCCCTTAACTGGTTTGCAGTTTAGAGCCTCCCTAAACCCTCAACCCTGAAGCCCAATGGGGGGTGCCAACGCAAGGTATTTCTGCAGCTGCCCGTCATCTGGAGCTCCAGTTTAAAGACTCAGAAGGTTGGAGGTTTCTCTGGGCTTTAGGGTCTACGGTTTAGGTTTGTAGGGTTCAGGATAACATCCACGAGGCTTTTGACTCGTGCATCACCAAAGCGTGCGGGACAGTTTGGGGGACTTTGCAATGCAAACTTCAATTTATCTGCACTGCAAAACTGTAAGATATGGGGGCAACGAATATACAGGCTCTCGGGAACAACACCAACGACTCCCGTCCTCCTCTTGCCTGGCCTATAAGCCCCGGAAACTCAACACCAAAACCCACATCTCCCCGGCCGGAGGTTCCCAAAACCTCATACATTCGAGGGATCGCTGTGTGGTTTGAAGTAGACTCGCTGCGCGGTTGTGGGGTTTCTCGGAGGTTCCAGTGCCTCCCCACAGCTTTGTGGACTAGCCCTGCTACTTTCACTTCAGGTTTTGTCCGAGCGCAAGTTTCGGATGGTTTTCTAAAGTTTCGGAGGCTTCAAAAAGGTGGGATGAAGGTAGGTGGAATATTCCCAAATACGAGTCCCTACAAAAGGGATCCTGAATCCTCCCTACCTTCAATTACCACTACTATTACCATTAATTACTACTACCATTACTACTACTTCTACTACTATTACCATTACTACTACTACTANNCTACCTTCATCCCACCTTCTGAGGCCCTCCGAAAGTTTTGGGGGTTGGGGTTCAGATCTGGGGCTTCAGAGATGGGTTACCGAAGCATCCAGCAGCCGAAATCTCAGTACATGCTGCCGTCTGGTACTTAAGCTCTAAACCGAAACTGTACCCCGCACCCTAAACCCAGAAATCTAAGACGCAAAGTATGTTCATGGATGTTTAGCACATGTTCGGAGTCGTGTGTAGAAGCTGGGTAGCCTCTGTGAGAACCCAAAGTTCGCCCACATACATGGTTGCGCCCCGGCGCGCCACCCCCCCCCAACCAAAAAAAAAAGAGTCCCCCCCTCCCCGTTTCTGAGGGGTGGCTAAGAGCGCACAGCGCACAAACGTGTAAGATCCCCCTGTG